CACCGCCGCTTCCTGACTAACAAACCCGACCATCCCCGTCAACATGGATGATGTCATTTCCTCTGTCCCCACAACCACCTCCACCTTTGCCTTTCTGGTATCCTCCCCTCTCCTCCCCTCCTTCCCCCCCGTGTTCAGGTTAGAGTGAGAGTTCCTGTGCAGGGCCAGGTTTGAGGAGTGTGTGAATCTGCGTCCACACTCTCCACAGATGTACGGCCTCTCGCCCGTGTGTATCCTCATGTGCTGCCTCAGGTTGGTGGACTGGGTGAAGGACTTCTTACACACTGAGCAGGTGTAAGGCTTCAGACCAAGATGGACGTTCTTGTGTCGACGCAGGCTGCTGGAGTTTTTGAAGGCCTTGGGACACGTGTCGCAGGGGTACGGACACTCACCGGTGTGCTGCCGCAGGTGATACTGGAAGTGAGAACTCCATTTGAAGGTCAGGGGGCAATAGGGGCAGACGAAGGTGCGTACCCCAGTGTGGACGCTCTGATGGACCTGCAGAAACAGACACAGATGTGAGATCACGTCACCATGTTTGACTTCATCCTCGATGTGTGTCTGAATATATACTTCACCTGGAGCAGGGAGGAGCGTTTGAAGGCTTTCCCACACTCCTTACATTTGTATGGTTTCTCCCCTGAGTGAGACCTGCACAAAAAGGGTTAAAACTAGTTAAACTAGTTAGACTGAGAACTCACAATTAATGTTGTCCTTGAACAAAGAGCAATAAAGGTGATAGAATTGATAACAAAAGGTTTTACTTTGATGCTGAACTGAACTGTACTGTACTGTACTGTACTGAATACCTACATGTCCTAAAGTTGGACTCTAGTAACAGACTGACCAGGTTAGAAGTACTACAGTGATGTTACCACTCTCTCTCTCTCTCTCTCTCTCTCTCTGATGAAGTGAAAATGAAAATGTCTTTTAGTCACTGGTGTCTGTGTCTGTGTCTGTGTCTGGGGGGGTGAAGGGGGTGAGGGGGGGTGAGGAGGTGGGGTACACCTCAGTATATCACAGTGACTGTAGTATCACAGTACATCACAGTATTTCGTATCATGATACGTATCGTAGCAGTACACAGGCCGTACTTGGGCCCAGAACTATAAGACAGAGTTTTCAGTAGTTTTTCATAACAAACCCATAAATATTCAGCAGTATTTCACAGCGTACCGTTGGTGGTAGAGTAGGGCAGAGGAGCCCTTGAAGGCCTTGGGGCAGAGATTGCACCGGTACGGTCTCTCATTATTGTGGCTCCGCTGGTGGTGAGTCAACCTGGAAGACCACCTGAAACTCTTGCCACAGTCTAGACACTGGAAGGGATTGTCTGACTGCTTGGACTGCTGGGCGGGGCCTGGCACAGACGTGGTCACCATGTCGAGGACCACCTCCTCCCCACCCTCTACCACGCCTTTGTCTCCCTGCACAAGCTCCGCCCTCTCCTGATCAACTTCACCATCTTCTCCTGAGCCCAGCAAGGACGGAAAGGAAGAGAGCGAGGTAGTGGGCTGAGGTGGTAGAAGTTCAGCTTGGACCACCAAGGCCACGGAGTTAGCCATCAGCTGATCCACCTGGAGCCGAGCTGGGACTGAAGGTCACGCTGCAGATCAGTCAAGTCTGGACATGGTGCTGGTTCTGTTGCCCATCCTTTAATTGTTCTTTTCTTCTGTCTTTGATTATTTTCTATCAGCCATTGAAAAACGGGTTGGCACCCCCTAGAGGTTACCCTGAAGAACAACACGACACAGAAAATGATGGACATTAGTCTTATTGGCAGTGATGGAGAAGTAGGTCGTTAGATTTTACTGAGGGAAACCTTTTTATGAACATTCTTCTCCAAACAGTGGTTCAGTGGATCATTTGGAAAAGATCCTGCTTCTTTAAAGGAATAATGATCATCCACTGCCAGTGAAACGATAGTTTTATTTCTAATCGTTTCGTCTCACATGCTTCTCTAAACATCATCACATCAACGTCGTAATATGGACTTGTGACGTCACATTCTTAGTTTTCAGACTTGACCTGAAGAATCACGTCCCTTTCTCACCTCATTTTAGGACAGTGGTCATCATGACCAGGACGGTCTCCTTTTTCCATCCCTCCCTCCCTCGCCTGTTCCCGCAGTGCAGTCCTTACTACCAACAACAACGAGCGCACGCGCAAACACTCACTCACAGTGAACTATACTGAGCTTCATACGTTCAGTTGACGCTGCACGATGTTTTCAAGCGGCAGTGAAAGTCAACGAGCAACGTTAGCAGTGAGTACAAACACACACTGGCCTCTGGGTTAAAGCTAATGTATCCCGTCACCGCGGAGCAGCGTCATAAAAACGTCCGCTGAGAGTGTGTTTGACCACAGTCTGACCGTGTACTCACCCGCAGCTTTAACTCTGTGTCTGTTGTGTTTGTGATGTTGGTAAAGTGGCCCGGAGCCGCAGTGCTAATCCACACAACCTTAACAATAAACACGGGCTCAAACTAACTCAGACTCTCCGCCCGACGCCGCCTCCTAAGAACAAAGGCGCGGATTGGCCGCTTGTTACTTTACATGAGACACTGCCATTGGTCCACAGCTCGTACAGACAGATTGACGTTTTGGAAGCGCATTTCATTTTCAACCTCCACCATTGACAACAAACGCCAACGATGCGTCTGCTCTTCTCAACCACTGGTCTGTTCATCTCCAATAGGACTTTGTCGCACAGGCTTCTGGGAAACATGATATTTGAACGTCTACTTTGGTCGTCACTGTAAGGCACGTGACTACTAATCTGAGGGACACGAAGAGTCCAAATGAAAAGTGACCAATCGCTGTCCACATTCTTTAAGATTTATTTCAACAACAAGGCACATGTTTCACATTCAGGCCAATCAGTGTGTGCAGGAGGCAAATTGATGTTTCAGCAATAATTTAAACATGTTGGTGTAATAGTCGGGAACTTTATAAAAGTACAAAATGACAGGAGTCTCGCTCCACTGCAGCACAAAATAAATAGCTCCACCGAGGAATTTAAATAAATAGTCAATACTGCAACCAGTACTAACATAGGAGTGAGCAGGAATTCTAAAGGTGAAAGTAGAAAAGTCATCTACATGATATTGTAGAAAACACATCAGACACAGCATTGTATACATTTTACATTCTTGTAAAGTTATGTACACCTGTACAGAACATATTCTCTCAATACATAGTATTTTAAGGCTTTGGGTGTTTAAAAATGAAAACTACAATCACACAGACAAACTTTTCATCCCAAAGCACACACTTAGATCAGCCGTCCGACTCGTCCAACGGGCTAATCCTTACAAGTTTGTGCAAAGAATCTTATCAGGTCCATCAGTGCTCAGCATCAGGGCACATTCACTCAACTTTACCACAATGTTAAATAATCCAAAGTCGACCTACGGAACAAAACAAAGTATTCACTTCTCTCTACTAACGTTCTAACGTTTACAGAGTGAAACGACTACAGAACAACTGAGCCGTCACTGCATGACACTGGAATCTTCTCAAACATGTTCCTCGGAGCAGTGGAGCTGAGCGCTACAGCTGCTGGAGGGACCACTGACTGAGGGGAAGCCACCATGCTAACGCTAACTTAAGTGGAACAACAGTAAATATTCAGGTTCAGGAAGTGCTACTGGGGTTTTCTGGAACAACACACACAACAGAAAGACACAGAAAACAGAGATGTGGGCGAGAAAATTCACGTTACAACAGAAATAAAGATGAGTGTGGCACACGACGAAGTCAAATAAATAAAATTCAATAAATTACTAACAGTCAATAAATAAATAAATACATAAATAACATGGTCATTAACAAGCAGGAGAAGGTTTGGCTGGGTGTTACATCATCATCATCATCATCATCATCATCATCATCATCATCATCAGTATATTTAAGCCAGCTGTTTCCTTTTATCATAATTCCTAGAGGCTTGTATTTAGCTGCAGTACGTTAAATCCTCATTGGCTCTGACAAGAAGACACATTCTTTAGCACACATGTCATTGGTTGGTGTTTTGGCCTTTGAAGAGATGCTATCAACTACAGTGCAATATGACATGGTCCTAGTGTCCCTCTGAGGGAGGCGGGACTCCTGGTGGCCGTCATTGTACTGCGGTGACTTTGGGCTTGAGGCTGATGAGCGCCCTGTACGCCCAATCACAGAAGAGCTTGAAACGTTGAAGGAGCTCACGGTTGGACTGGAACACATCAAAGGGATAGGGCAGGTGGGGAGGCAGAGACGGCCTGGGGGGGGTCACCCTGGGAGCGTCGATCTTGAGCATCTGTGGACGGGCGGGCGGAAATGAGGGCGTGTCCTTTTCACACAGTGACCGAGGAACAGACAGAGTTCAAGAGGAGGTTACCTGACGCTGCAGCAGGCTGATGAGGGACTTCATCTCTCTGGTCATCTCCACCAGTTTGGGGACTGCGGGATGGTGGTGCTTCTCCGACACCTTGATCAACCACTCAAAGTGGTGTTCGTACTGGTTCAGGTCAGAATGCAGCTGCGACAGCGTGGGCTTCAGCTGGAAACAACACACACACACACACACACACATTCTTGAGAGACGTCACATGGGTGTGGCCACATGTGACATAAACAGAACACACATTAGAACATTAGAGAACATCGGAGCATTACCTCAAGATTGCTGAGGTCATTGGCTGATCTGTTGCTCATTTCTGGCAGTGACCTGAACCTGTGGGGCTCCACATTAGAGTCGAGCGAAGGCCCTCTCTGAAAGAGAAAAGCAGACGCAGAGCAGCTCATTAGTCGTTTGTAACGATGCGACTTTACTCATCCCGAACCGAGTCACGGCAACATGAGGAAAGTATTAGTCCGGCACCTCGGCTGGAGGACTGTTTTCTGTGCCTGGAGACAGGAGCTCTCACTGAGGGACTTTGGCTGATTGGGTCAGAGTGAGTTCAACCACATTCAGCCTCCCCAAATGTCAATAAGAGCAAATGACCTGAACCCACAGGATGTTTTCTTCAGAGAGCGAGGATAACAACACATGCAGTGACTAAGAAAGC